CTGCTGCCTCCAGTCAAGAAAATTTGATGTTCAGATAAGGTGCAGCAATAGGAAAAAAAAACTGTTTTACTGGTCTGAAACATCATGTTTTGTTGACCGGAGGTAGTAATTACCTGCTTTTGCCATTGGGTCTGAGGCCAGCCAGTGTCTGTTTTGTTGCCTCTGTGGTGCCTATAACCTCTGCTTGTTGTCCGTGTTGTGGCGCTAGACCAGATCTGACACCGGATCTCGCTGCCTCTGTTGGTCCAACCCATTTTGCTGTTTCCCATGGGCTAGTGCTGCTCCCCTCAGCTGAGGCAAGCTCCACCAGAGCAGCAATGCTATCTCTGCTTTTATTTTTTTCCCCTGTGTGTGTGGAAGGGAGAAGAAACGTTGTATAACTTACAGGTGGGCCTGGTATGGTGCTTCCATCATCAACTACTAAAGGTGCACACCTTGAGGCTACACAAGCATATTACAGTAGATTTTTTTCGATGACAAAAAAGAGTCTAGGTAAATATATGACTTATCAGGCATACTTAGTGTTAGATATTTAATGCCCTGCTTTACTATTAGCTGGCCTGACGGCTGGGAACCTTCCCAGCGTGCTGCCTTGGCTACTGGGCAGCAGCCATGGTTAATGCTCTGCTTTACTGTTAGCTGGCCTGACGCCAGGGAACCTGCCCAGCGTGCTGCCCCCTTTACTTCCTAGTCCTAGTTCTAGTCCTCTTCTATAAAGTGTAACTCTGTAATCTACCTTTCAAATCAATACAGATGCAATACATCTCTGTTTTCATGCTATCAAGAGGCTTCACGACCCTGTGACCTCTCCCTTCCGCTTCTTCCCCTCAGCCATCCATGGCTCAGCCTCCTTTCTCTGGTGATGCTGCCGCCACCGAGGCGCTAGAGGCCGCTGCCGCCCCAGAGCGCGAGCAGGCTGCCACGCAGACTGCCCTGTAAGCCGCCGCTGACATCGCCTCACGCACCGCTGCCGATGCCCAGGAGCGTGTCCGTGCTTCCCTCGCCGTCCTCGATCAGGAGCGCGCTGCCGCTACAGCCCTCGAGTCCAACCCTTGATGGTGACGGCTCTGTTGACAGCGATGCTGCCAGCGACATTGATGCCACTGCCTCCATCGCCAACCTCCACGTACAGGCCGCTGCTGTTCAAAACATCTGCTCCCTTGTTCCGCTCATCCTCGATCCTCTGTCCTCCCACTACAATCGTTGGCGCGACCTTGTCTTGCTCACTCTTGAGCGCCAGGGGTGGAGCCAGGAATTGAGTATAGGGGGGGCCATGTATAAGACTAGAACTAGTAAACCATACCAAGTCACATATAGTAATATATATATTTCACAAATCTTAACCAAAAGAAAATTGTACATCTATTATCTTAAATTTAGCTCTACGATTACCAATGAGATTATAGGCAATTCGATAAAAGAATACTAGTGACCGTTAATTACTAGATAAAAGAATAACACTGCATGATTATGGATTACGGATTACCTGCCACTTCTGGTGGCCTGACTGCCTGACGGAAACCTACAGAAGGCAATTTGGACGGCAGGTAGGCAGCCGGCGCCCGGCGGCGTCAATTTGGGACAGCGGTGGTGGCATGGCGCGGCGTCTCACGTTCGGCCTCCCACTACGACAGTACCGGCGTGGCGATGTCCGCCAACCGGCGAAGCAGTCAAGCAGAAGAGAAGACGAACAGTTGAACAGGCGAGAAACGAAGGAAGTCAGGAAGGCTCGACGCTTTGTAGGTGAGAAACGAAGGAAGCCAAGAAGGCCTGACGCTTCATATTCAGTCGATGAAGGGAGCAGCAGCAATTACATGTTCGTGTAAATGGGCTGCTGCTTATTGCAAATACACTTATACACAGTATACACGTTTGGAATGAATGGGAGGAGCCTAATTAACAGCATACATGCATGGATATTAACTAGTATATACTAGAGACTAGCAGCACGTCAGGGGGTGCCAGGCCCCCCGTGCCCCCCTCCCTCCGCCACTGTTGAGTGCTATGCCCTCGACGATCACGTGCTCTCCGATGTGGCTCGTCATGACATCCCGTCCTGGCGCCGGATGGACTGTGTGGTGCTCTCCTGGCTGTTTGGTACTGTCACCGACAAGCTTCAGCAGTGTGTGGCTCTGTTCGCATCCGCGGCCGCACTGCACGTGATACTTGGCTGTGCATTGAAGAGCAGTTCCTGGGCAATCGCGAAGCTCGCGCTTTACATCTTGATGCCGAGTTTTGCATGGTTGTCCAGGGTGATCTCTCCGTTGGTGATTACTGCCGCAAGATGAAAGGGATGGCTGACGCTCTTGGTGATCTTGGGGAGGTTATTCCAGACCACACCCTTGTGCTCAACATTCTTCACGGACTCAACGGGAAGTGCGACCACCTGAAGGCACTTCTCAAGCGGTCCAAACCATTCCCGACGTTCAGCGAGGTCCATAACGACTGCTCTCCTCGTCACACAAAAGAAACCTGCTGCTGCTTCTACTCCAACTCTGTCGGCTGTTGGCTTGTCCGCCTCTGCAGGTGGTAGCAGCAGCAACCGCGCCGCTAGCACCAGCCCTGCCCCCTCCAACAACGGGGGCAATCGCTGTCGCCACCGGAGCACTGGTGGCAAAGGAGGGCGCATCACCGTGTGGCCTATGGGCCAGCACCAGCAGCAAAACCGTGGGCCTGCACCGTTGCTGCAGGGTGGGCGTCCTGGCCCGCTGCAGGCGTTCATGGCAGCTCCACATACCTATGGTGCTCCTCTGATGCCTCCAGGATTCTCTCCTATTGATACGGCGTGGGCGGCGTGGAGAGCGTAGAGATCGGAGGAGCAGCTGGGATTGAGAGTTAGAACACAGAGGGTAGCTAGGCAAGGGCGGTGGGGATTCGTCACCAGCGGCTACGGCAGAACCGCTCGCAGCCACTGTCGAAGGGTTAAACCCCACCTGCCTAAGGGAGGTTTATTTCCTTTTTCGATAGTCTTTGATTACAATCTAAGTGCCCCTTTATAGGATAGGTGCACCTCTAACAGAAACCAATCTAATCTCCTAAAATTCCTCCTTGTTACTGCCTTCTCTAACCAACCGGGCCCTTAACCACGGTTGGGACCATGTCGACGCCGAGGCCGGCTCCTATACTGGCGCCCGACGAAGGAGTCCACAACACCTATGCCACCTATGCCCCAGCAGCAGCAGTACGGGGTGCAACAACGCGGCTGCCCTTCTTCTGCACCAAGCGTCTCCATCTTCACCATGGACTAGCGCCTGGGACCAGCATGGCAAACTCTTTTAGCACCATGACCCTCACTCCACCGTCCTGTAACTGACTGGGTCATGGATTCCCGCAGCTCCAACCACATGACACCTGACACTAGTAATATTTCCTTGTTTCAACCCCCTCACTCCTGTCTTTCATAAATCGCTGTTGGCAACGGTTCTATTCCACTGTTTACCTGGTCCCTTTTACCTCAATAATGTGCTTGTTGCTCCTCACATTATTAAGAATCTTATTTCCGCTTGTTAATTCACTACTGACAACCACTGTTCTATTGAATTTGACCCTTTTGGCCTCTTTGTGAAGGATCTTTGTTCTAGGAACGTGATCATCAGGTGCAATAGTTCCGGGCTGCTCTACACCTTGCATCCTCCAGCATCTTTATCACCCCCCTGCGCTTTTGTCGCTGCAGCCCCTGCCACCCTATGGCATAGATGTCTCGGACATCCTTGACATGAGGCTTTGTCCCAGCTTTCTAGCAGTTCAGCTATTACTTGTACTCATCATACTTCCAGTAGTGAACCTCTATGTCATGCTTGCCAACTAGGCCGCCATATTCGGCTGCCCTTCCTGTTGCGAGTGTTTCTGGCTACAAATATTATCTTGTAATTCTTGATGATTGCTTCCACTTCCTCTGGATGTTTCCTTTACACCTCAAATCTGAAATGTTTCCTTTAGACCTCTCCTGTTGCTTTACTATTAGCTGGCCTGACGCATGGGAACCTGCCCAGCGTGCTGCCCCTTTTACTTCCTAGTCCTAGTTCTAGTCCTCTTCTATAAGCTGTTGTTATGACCGGTGTGCAGTACACCAGGCGCCGACGTACTAGTGGCTGAGGTGGCGCCTAGTATTAGGGGGCTAATAGCCCGGTTATCTCATCATTTGTTATTTCCTTAGATTATTTATTCCTTAAAAATAGGATCTCATAGATGGTTGTTTCGGGAGGATAAATATCCTGTGAACATTGATTGAAGGAATTAAGCAAAGCAACAATCTTGGTTGCTCGGCTTCCCTGAAGCCCTCGACTCCCTCTCTCTCCCTCGGTGCCGTGATCACCACGGCGCCCACTCGCCGCTGCCGCCTGCCTAAACCTCAGCCACCTCTCTTCCATCCCTACAACCTTCGTAGCAACTCCGGTAGGATCTCTAATCTTCCTTTCAAATCAATACAGATGCAATACATCTCTGTTTTCACTTAGGATTATATGCACACACAGGGTTACATTAGTTACACTACTATGAATCAGATCCTAATAGAGTGATTCTGTTTCACCCGAGAAACTATTTATATGAGAAATCAAATCTGAAATGTTTCACAAAGAACCTGGAACCCTGCTGCCAAGCAGGCCCTAAGTTCCAGTTGATATTTTGTGAACTCACTTCAGGTTTATCTTTCTGATTATGCATTAATGCATATTACTATTGGAATCCCATGTTGGCTTGCATTTCTGTTGCACATATGGTTCATGATACTACGACTATGCTTGTGACTCCAACCGTGTGCTCATAAATAACCAATTTGCCCGCGTTTGGTGGCCTAGTGTTATGACATTTTTTTTCTATGTGAAGTTTTTTTCTTTTATCAAAATGCTTTCTGCAGTTGCAACATACACTGCTTCTATACTACAGTAGTTTTTTTTTTCTTCTGTTGTTGATTCATGCTGCATTTGCATGTGTGTTATATTAATAAGGGTTATATCTTAGGTCCTTAATTAATGCAAAAAAATATTTCATATTGCCAGAGAAGGCTGTAAGTCTTGCCAACGCAATTGGTGGTCAGGCCCTGAGATTAGAAGACCTGGAAACTTTCAGACCTGAAGAAGGGATGATCCTTGCTAATGCAACATCATTGGGGATGTACCCAAATGTTGATGGTACTCCTATTCCGAAGGTGTCCACACACATTTTCCTTTCTCTCACACATACATAATTGGAGACTGGTTTTTTTGAATCTCAAAATGATTGATCTTTGAGATCTGACGTTTTTATTGTCTGTGTGTCTTACAAGAATAAATAGTAATAGCCTTCCATTATAGTCACAATTTCTTTTTGGAGTTGTAAATGTAATTGCATGAATAACAGTTTTGCAAGTCAAATTTGCTTTCCTCCATTAGCAAGGTTAGCCCAAGTAAAGAAACCTGATATGCTCTGAATGCATAAGTTGTGAATGGTAACTGCAAACATAAAATGCTCCTTACTAGTCTTATCAAGAACTCAAGATCATTTAAATTTTTAGCTGGACGATTTTTTCAGAGAGAACTCATGAGGAAAAACATTGCAAATGCATCTAATGAAGCAGGTGCAGTAACCTAGTAACAGATCTGAACAACAGATTGTTTTATCTGAAGGTCTGAGTTTGTGTAACATGTAGCCTATGATTATATTGTTTTCACATAAGTTAGGACCTTGTTTATTCTTCTCTTACTCCAAAATAGACATAAACATTGGTACACTTGATGCCAAACTGTGTTTGATCACTTTTCCTGTATTTGCAGAAAGCTCTGTGTTTCTATGATGTGGTATTTGATGCCGTATATGCCCCAAAAGTCACAAGGCTTCTTCGAGAAGCAGAAGAATGTGGAGTTAAAGTTGTTAGTGGTGTGGAAATGTTTATTAGACAAGCCATGGGTCAATTTGAGCGTTTCACCGGTGGTATAGAAGGTGTCATGTTCTTCCAAGATATTGTTAATCCTTTACATGCCAAATCTTTCTGTACATATCCTTGGTCATTCATACTGTAAGTTAGTATTTCTGATTTTCTTTTTTTTTCCTGCAGCTCCTGAATGCCTGATGCGTGAGATAGCAGCAAAATACACCTAGCAGGTTCGTTTATCTGTTACCATTTCATTTAAATCTTTCAATTATTGTGGGTTTAAAACTTAACACAGAAGATGTCCTGATTTTTTCGCAATTTGGCCCTTTTTTTGTAAAAAATTCGCGTTTACACCCTTGGGCGTTGTAAACCCAACTTTGGACCCTTTTCTCGGCGCCATGACCTACGGTGTCGAGGTAACATGTCTCGGCGCCGAGGTCGGAGGCCAGGGATTACGTGGCTAGCGACGTGGCCAGAGCTCGGCGCCATGGTTTTAACCTTAACCACATATTATCATGAGTTGGACAGATATATAATTTCAACATGTCCTATATGACCAAATCCTAACATACATATCCGAGTCATAGTAAAAAATCATACTTAGCCAATTTGTAGGTTGCCCATCTCGTGGTGAAATTAAGTCATGTTAATTTAGAGCTAAGAGAAAACCAGAGCTCGGCGTCGTAGATCATGGCGCCGAGGTCGGCGCCGTGAATCATGGCGCCGAGCTCTGGCCACATCAGCACCCCGCCTCCCGACCTCGGTGCCATGACCTATGGCGCCGAGACATGTTACCTTGGCGCCGTAGGTCATGGCGCTAAGAAAAAGGTCCAAAGTCGGTTTTACGTTGCTCAGGGGGGTAAATGTGATTGTTTTTTTTACAAAAAATGGGCCAAATTTCAAAAGATTTGGGAAGATGTCAATATGTGATTTTACTAGGAATAGGGTCTATTTAATTACATTCTGTTAGTTCATTGTTCTCCTTGAAGTAAAGCTCACATTTCATGTCACAAGTACACCATGCATACACTGAAACGTGTTAAATAGGTGTAATTGAAGACTCTCAGGGCTAAGGACCAGTACTACTTAGTCTTTTTCTTTGTCTTTCGTCGAATGTGCTATATTATGTGCTGTGACATGGCACTTCATTACAAACTGTGATCACTTCGTAAATTTCTGTATCCATATCTAGTTTTCCCCCATGAAAATAGCATGAGCAAGATTAGTGGTAGCTTCTGACAAAATATTTCTTGTCTTAAATTCTGTATTGGTTATGTGAGAACTAAACCAGGGCGACTAAAGTTGGATGTGACACTTCTTTGTTTTGTTTTCAGGCTAATGGCGAAAACCTGTCTTTGATGAATATTTGCCCAAAGATTTTGACGGGGCTGAGTGAATAAAAGTTTTTGGATACCTGCCCTGTTTTGCAGTTACCGAGGTTTGCTGTTGTATTGTTAGATTTAGCCGACTTGTCACCTGCACAATGTAGGATTACGTTGTCATGCTATATAGTGTTCTTGTACTTGCAATGGAAGAGTTGCAAGAATAAAGAGTCAGTTAGAACCCAACGTTATGATGACCAAGGGAGAAAATATGCATCAAACAATGATTCAGTTGACGGTTCCGCGGATCATGTAAGAGCTACAATTGTTGACTTGCATGCGGCATTCCTGGCGGTTATATTGTCCTGCATAATTTCATTGTACGGTTCGGATGATATATTTTTTTGGTAAGGGGAAAATTTATTGATTTCTAAGAGCAATATCAAGATTATACGAAGTCTTGATAACATTCCTGGTCTCTGCCTAGAAAGAAATACACAATCTAATGAGAAAAAAGGGAGCAATGAACACTATGGACTATCAATTCATAGACTAATCATCACCTGTGTTAGGGAAAAATAAACCTTGCTACTTATACCAAAAGTTGAATCTTGTAAACACGGTTTTTTTTTTATAGAATATCCATGCACGGAACTAGTAGATTCAAGGTTCAAAAAGGCGCTAGATCTACCATCTAGAGCCTAAGTGGGCCTAGACGTTTTAAGATGTTTTTTTAGGTGTTTTAATTTTTATGCACATACATATATATTACCTTAAATTACCCTATGTAAAAGAAGAAATAAGAGACTATCTACAAATCTATATACTATGTATATGCAAGTGACTAACTATGAATTAAACACTAACATGTGTGTGTAATTATTGTTGCTACAGTACCAGCAAGGAGGTTATTAGAGGAGAAATGACAAATAAAAGTATATCTAATAGTTTATTGTGAGAAAATAGTACTTCTATGGGGGCAGAATATAAGAAATGAGTTAAGAGAATTAGAGTAAGGAATTTTCTAGGAGTTCTTACAAAAGTAATGGATCAAATCATAAAACCGTGCTATCATTCTTATCTTGTACGCCATCTGTTGACGGTAGTTATCATTCATCATAAACAGTCAACACAACATGAATAAATGCATAAAAAGGATCACCAATATAGACTTAGGGGTTTAAACCGACAATTTTCACAAGTTTTGGTGAATCTGTGTTTTTAGCAGGGCTTATCTAGAAAACCGTCAAGGAGGATCAAATCGTCAATTAAAATCATGTTTATCCACAGTGAAATCAACTCCAGAAGGTTCCAGAAGATTCGAGAGGACTCCACCGAAGCGGGGCTAGGCCCCACCTAGAGGCCTCCCGTCCCCTAGGGAACCCACCTGTCAGCCTCCTTCATATGTTGGTTTTCACCGTCTCGTAGGATGCATCTACGCCGTCCTTTAAGTTGGTTTGATCTAAGGGTTCACGTTGGACGCTCCGGCCTATATAACTAGCCCCTGCCCCCCTCTAGGGCACGCTGCCATAAGTCAAGATTAGAGCAGAAATTAGGGTTTCCAGAGAGAAGAGAATAGAGTTCTTATTCCTCAAGTTTCTAGTATAGGCTCGCTAGCAAGGTTCAAGTAGAGTTTGGGCTATCGCTTAGGATTCTGGATCTGCCGTCTAGAGACTGGTATAGCCATTGTATCTCTTTATTTATGACTTTGTACTACTTCAATATTATATTGCTATTTATTATGTTCCTAGTTTGCTCTAGTAATATGTTTGATATAGTTATGATTGATGTTGAATATATGCATATGTTCACAAAGCTCTTAGCTCAGTTCTCTAGAGAGTTAAGTGATCGATATTATGTAAGCATGATGCTTAGATATTGTTTGTCTGCGGATACATTCTGCACTCTGGGTTATGTGGTAGATCGCGGATGTAGCACTCCCATTGAGTCCTTTGTAGTCCACTCCCCGTTTGTAGAGCACGCGTGGAACGTGATTGCGAAGGAAGACAAGCTCTGTTCTTAATCTTCCTTAGTAATGTTCCTTATGCATAGATCCAAAGTTAGTTATAATATAGATGAGAGTGTATATACTTGGCTGTGCAAAAGACTTAGTAGATAAGTAATGACTTAGGAATCTTTTGCTCTTAACGAATCTCCTGTTTAGCCTTACTACATTTTATGAGTATCTATTTCTATCTCTGGAATACTATTATTACCTTACACTTATCATTTATTTGTCACTTGACTTACCCCTGCCATAGCATGAGAGTGGTTTTATCATAAGTATACATATTTGTCAATATCTCTATGCCAATACAACCCCATAGCTCCTCCCTGTGGATAAAATATAAATAACGATACTCGGTATACTCCCGGGTGAAATGCTACAATGGTATATTATCTGTGCGCTTGCGGATACCTTATATATAGTTTACAAGTGTTCTCATAATTACCAACAATGCATTTCTGGCATCATGCAAGGGATGATGACTTAGTTAAGAGTGATGGTAAGAAATGTCAACAAGCATTTCTGGCGCCGTTGCCAGGGAGGGGCACATGGCTAAGAGAATTGATAAAATAAATACTTATTGATGAAATCATAACCTTTGCTTTAGCAGGCTTACCCTCGTTTGTCTTTGTTCATATCTTATACAGGGTATTGTAGGATTGGTTGTGATTCAACAATTTTTATCAATCAGAATCAACCAAATAAAGAGGAAGCTCAACACCAATTTCTAAAGCTATGGCACTCTACGTGAGTTCTCTGCTCCAAGCACCGAGAGCATTCGCACTGGACCAACACCCAAAACCGATAATCTTGAGTTCAAGCTCAAGCCAAGCCTCATCAACATGGTGCAAGCTACCCCATTCAGCAGAAAGGCACATGAAGGTGCTAGTGCTCATCTTCAGAATTTCCTGGAGATAAGTAGCACAGTCTTCATCAAGGATGTTGCTCAAGACATTGTACTACTCCGCCTCTTTCCATTCTCACTTGTGGGAAGAGCGAAGCAGTGGTTCTACACCAACAAAGATCACATCAACACACGGGCAAAGTGTTTAAAGACCTTCCTAGAAAAGTTTTTCCCTGTAGGCAAGACCAATGCCTTAAGAGGAAAGATTTTACACTTCCAACAGCAGAAATGAGAGACCATTCTAGAAGCATGGGAACATTTTCAAGAATATGTTTCAGATTGCCCTCATCATGGAATGGAAGATTGGTTGCTCATGTAAAGTTTCTACCATGGATTAACTCAGAAAGCCCATAAACAACTCGATGCCACTGCTGGATGATCATTTATGTCACTCACCCTTGGAAAAGCCGAGACTCTTATGGAAAAGATAGCCTCTAATCAAGGCTAGTCATCATGCAAGATTCAATCATACAATAAGAGCGAAGAAGTACCAGAAGAGGTGTGTGCACTGTCAACCAAGATGGACGTACTGTTGAATTGGCTCGAACAGCGAGACAATTACAAGAAACATCATTAGGCCATTCAAGATGCTTTCAATGCTCAAAATATATGTGAGGTATATTTGGGGGTTGAATTCCCTGAATATCAAGAGGATGCAAACATCGTTAGCAACAATTCAGGTTCACAACAATAGAGACAAGGATGGAATCATCAACGATGATCAACTTACCAAGGTAAGTACCTGGGTAATTATTATAATTCTTCCAATCCTAAAGAACCATCCTTAAGAGACTTAATCTTAGAACAACCTAGGATTAATGAATGTATTTCTAAAAAGCTTGCTTTTGATGATAAGGTCCTAGAAAATATAAATACTAAAATGGATAGTTTTTCTTTTGCCATACAAGACCAACTTAGCTATAATAAAAAGATAGAATCTCAATTAGCCCAGTTGGCCTCTGCTCTGCCTTTGGCCACTAACCTTGAGAAGGT